AATTAACAAGCTGCATATGCAGGGGACACCGTTTTACTTGCTAAAAGCAAAGAAAGCTTGATGATCTTACTGACTACAGCAGAGACGACAGCTTCAAGATAGATTCAAAATCAATGTAAAGAAAACAAAATTCCTCAGAACGAGGCCAAGAAACAGTATCACGACAACAGATAAAAGGTTGACGTTATCAAGCATTTTGTTTTCAATGGTCAAGGAAGCAGCAACCAAGAAATCCAAGGACAAAATATGTGTCCTAAGGGCATAAACACATGATCCAGCATCACAACACACACACACACACAGCAGAAAACAAATAGGTGACTGGGCCTACTAACAAATAAGACACTTCTGTGCTTCAAGAGTTCATGAAAAGATTAAAGAGAACCCACAGACTGGGGAATCCCCCCAAACAGCGTTCATAACCTTCTGAACTGAACTGTCTGCCTTGATTTTACTGACCTAGTTGATTTCATGGCAGCATCTCTTTTAAATGTACCTGGTATGGTGGGCTGTGAACTAGGCTGCTAACTACCAGGTAAGCAGCTCGAAACCACTTGCTGGTCCATCACAGAAAGATGAGACTTTCTACTTTTGCAAAGATGTGCAGTTTTGAAAACCCAGAGGGGAAGTTTCCTCTGTTCTATAGTGTACCTATGAGTAGGAATTCACTTGATGGCAGTGAACCTGGCTTTTTCCTTTTCTTTTTTGCCCAGTTTCCCTGCAGGCACTCTAGTGAGACTTGAGTAACAAGTGTGCTACTGAAAGAGCTTGTCTGCAATCATCCACCGATCACCGCTATGTTTAAACACGTTTTGTTTGGAATAAATCCATGTGTGTATATACTAGGACCCTAATAGGATATACCGTTTGGCTTATTTTCATACAATGAAAAGAAACCAACCTGCATTATATTTTTAAATTAGCAAAAATTACAGACTGATTATGTAAAGGAACCTAGGTGTTAACTGGAATTAAACCTAAACTGATCATTGTATTATGAGACCATTGATAAAAGTTGTTTGTTGAGGACTATTCATTTGTTCAACCAATATTATGGAAAACCTACCACATGTGGGAAGTTATAAGGCATAAGAGTTGGGTGTCAAGGAATATGGAAAAAGCATGTTTTATTTAACATGTCATCATTTACATGTGATTAACATGTTATCCTTTAACATGTTGTTAATCTTATCCAACATGTTATTGTTTAACATGTTATTAGCATCTAATCATTTGGCATGTTGTTGACATGTTATTTGACATTGAATAACATGCCTCTCCATATTTGTGTAGTTTAAAACAAAACCAATCATTTATTTGCTCCCACTTCTGGAATTTTGAGAGGATCTGATAGAGATAGGACCCCTGATGGCAAAATGGTTATACATTGGGCTCTTAATCACAAGATCAGTAGTTTAAAACCACCAGCGGCCCATGGGCTCCAATCAAGAATTTTAATCTTGAAAATCCGCAGGGGCGGTTCTGTTCTATCCTATCGGGTCACGACACGTCAGAGTTGACTTGTTGGCGATGAGTTTTGACAGGGACAACTCATGTCTGCTCCATGTGACATCATCTGGGACAGCTTAACCAGGGCTGGTAGATTGACTTCCAATATTGGTACCCCATGGCTTGAAAGTTGGGACTGTTTTCTGGATGCTCCGTTGGTCAGAGCCCCAGTTCTTCTTGTAAGCCTCTACTCATGCCTATGTTAGGTTTCTAACTGTTGACCGTGTTCTGACAGAAAGCACTCGAGGAGGTGTTCCAAGACGATAAGTCTCAACATGCAAGTTCAAGCCTCTGTTGGCTTCACGCTTGCTAATATTCCAGTGGCCAAACTAGTCACCTGGTCATATATAGCATCATCGTGGAAGAAAACACGACGGAGGGTCCTGCTTTGTTGGAGACCAAAGCAAAGTCTGCAGCAGAAGGGTGGCGGGAAAGCTATGACGCAAAGAATATTCCACATCCCGCCCTCAAGGACCTCACTGAGAGGAAACATTCTGAATATTGATAATGTTTCCCTAGAGGCTATGGGCAGTGCCAGTGGTTAATATGCTCAGCTGCTAGCCAACAGACAGAAGTTCGGGGTCCACTCCAAGACACCTCAGACTAAAGACCGGAAAACCCAATGGAGTACAGTTTTAACTGTTACACAGGAAGTTGCCATGAGTTAGGAGGGACTGGTTGACAGGTTTTGTGTCTTACTGCACATTCTGGTGGGGATAACTGGAGGAAACTGGTGGGTCTAGATGGAGTTTAATCAGATTTCATTATAATATTACTATATCACAGATATGAGAACTGAAAATCAGAAAGGTGTAATGGCCCTAAGGCATGTTTCTTAGCACCATGAGAGAAACTTAGGTCCTGCTCTCTGCTCTACGATCAGGTCAAGCTGGTGACTGATGTTACCAACCAAAATTTCATGTGGGCATGGCTGAGAAACCATGAGACAGAAGCGACAAGGGGAAGCTTTGCTTTGATTGATCAAACACGGAGCCAGCGCACACCAGAATGCCCACGGCAAGCTCCAGGGGAGGAAAAGACTTGCAGGCCTCTGTGCACACACTGGGAAGCACACTGAGGCCTGGGCAATCGCCTTGCGTCTGCACGGGGCTGTGATTACTGGCCGGGAAGTGACGTGTTAGGGTCCTCCTTTTCCAGTGTCGCTGAGTTGGTCTGGTGGTTTCTCTCTGGAGCCTGAGGGCTGCTTGACCAAAAGTCAGGGTCACCTGAGGGTTGTGACTGTCCTTTCTGGGGTACTTTTCTGTGAGGACAGGCCCCAGAAGGCATAGGCTCACAGGAAGAACAGAGCAGTTTAATTATAGGTGATATATTATACACACACATATGTATATTTGAGCATCCTGTGACAATATCCCTTATACCCTAAGGGACGTTCCTTAGGCAAACTGGAATGTACAGCCTTACTTGTTGCTAAGCAGATTGAATCGTCTTAACGGGTTGTAACTTGTCCTGGTCTGTTTTATTTCCTCTTTTTTTTTTTTACTATAAGCAGACAGCAACGCCCCTCCGCAAAGGTTCTCACGTCTCTAAGTTTCTTTTTCCTCGTTTCTTAAAATAGGCATGGGGAAAAAACCCCACCTGGAGATGTGACGCTGTGGGGGGCTGGCGTAGGGATCTGCCCAGCGTCTCTCAGTGGCTACGTTTCACTGCATTTCTACAGCAGTTATCATTAAACGTACATTGCCTCGATAGTGGGAAATGTGCGTTGACTGCTTGACAAGCATGTCCTTTTAACTGTTGGAGTCAGCAAAGCTAACTGAAAGCTGAGAATCTGAACTTTCCGCTTATCAACTTGCTCCCTATCGGGTGCTGACTGGAAAGTGGGGAGATAAGAGTTAGGACTGAAGGAACTATATGTGACCTCCTCCCTGGGGGACAGACAACCGAAAAGTGGGTGAAGGGAGACGTCGGACAGGGCAAGATATGACAAAATACCAATTTATAAACTATCAAGGGCTCATGAGGGAGAGGGGAGCGGGGAGGGAGGGGAAAAATGAGGACCTAATGTCGGGGGTTTAAGTGGAGAGAAAATGTTTTGAGAATGATGTACAAATGCGCTTTACACAATTGATGTGTGTATGGATTGCGATAAGAGTTGTATGAGCCCCTAATAAAATGTTTTAAAAAAAGAAAAAAGAAAAAAAAAAGAGTTAGGACTGATTATTTAACTGTGACTTTGCGAATAGAACCTGGTCTTTTCTTTGATGAAAAAGGTTCATTTCTGCTGAGTTTATCGTCGCAGGGCTGCAAAGAATATAGAGAAAAATAAGATATGTGAGAAAACAAACCAAAACATCCTCTGGTTTTAATTAAGGATCCCCCCTCTCACCCATCCCACCCCAGGCCTGATCAATTCTGACAGCATCAGAGCAATTTTTGGCTAAAATTTAAAGTCATTCTGTTAGTATCCCTGGAGAAAGTGGAGCCTTTCCTACAAAAAGTTACAGTCTTGGAAACTCACAGGGGCAGTTCTATGCTATCCAAAAGGGTCCCTGGGCATGAGAATGGACTGACGGCGAGGCAGACTAGAAAAGTAACTCCATTTTTGTCAGCTGCTAAGTGACTTGCCCGTTCCTCCCTCGCATCTCAGAAAGCTGACTGCTAGCTGACCTGCCCGGTCTCCCTCCCCTTGTGGGAAAGTCTCTGCTGGTGATTAATTTTAGAATGTACTCCCGTGTTCCCAGGTTCTGGGCACCACAATTAGTTTTGATTATTCTTCAATATATGTTAGTTCTGATTCAGTATTGTTCCCTTGGATTTTGTAATCTGAATGGTGTAGTTCATCTTGTCATGATAACCAGGGTGTTACAATATGATCTTGTTATGTAACCAGGATGTCATAGCAATTTTGGCATTGTTTCTTTCCTTTTTTTGGGGGGGGTGGGCAGGGAGCATGGGGCATCTTTATTGAACCTGAAGTCGGGGACAGGGGAGGGATGGGAGCGCAAAGGGAGGGAAGGTATTGTGTCTTTTATGATAAGGAATGTACCTTGTAACGCATGCTTACTCTTCTCGAAGTTACAATTAATCCATTAATTCTGCTTCTATTCTTGCTTGCTTGAACCCTAGGCAGGTGATAAATGAGTTTTTCGGCCTTTAAGATGGACTGAGATGTGGACTTGGGACTGCAATCAAAGAATCCCTTTTAGATTCTAGCAGTCCGGCTATAACCGAATCAAGACGTCTAAATTATCCAGACATTACAGTGGCTGTCATTGATTTAAATCTGCAACAATGGCAGTGAGTTTGGTTTTCCGGTTAAGTATTCCTTAACCTCTAAGGTCCTAGCCCCACCCATACCGAGGGGTGAAGTACCACCCCCAGCCCCACCTCCACCCTCCACCCTTTGCAGTCTCAGTTGCTTCGTTTGTGACCTTGTCAATGAAACCTGGGGGGAGAACGAACACAGGCATTTAATGCAACAGTGCAGAGCACCTCTTGCTGAGAGTGTGTATATTTTTCTTTGTCCTCCTTAAGAGATTTTGCTTTTTGTTTTAACTTTTTAGTTTCACTTTCGAGATTGCCGTAAACTTGCTGATGAAAACGTCCACGGTGAGAGTGTTAGGATTTGAATAATTGAAAACCAGCTCTCATCAGAATAAGTGAAGGTACATATTTCATATTCTTACTGGAATGGGATTTCTTATGTTGAAAATATCTGGATGTACATTGCATGGTCTCATGATTCTGTCTTTGATCTGGTGTTTGAACTCTATGTAGGATTACTCAACAAGGATTGTGGCGGGAAAGCAGGGAAGGGGGGCAGAGGGATGATGTTGGCAAGGATGAAATATTGTACCATACCTAACAGTAACAGTAGTAGTAAAAAAATAATAATTTATATTATAAAATATTTTATGTAGTAATTTTAATAAACTTTCCTTTTAGAGTCCTGTACTGGAAAAAGGACATTAGTGAATTGTGAAGTTTTCCAAGCAGGCTATCGGCCATAGGGGAACTAGCAAGCTCTAAACACACACCACCACCAACAACAACAACAATAACAACCGCAGCAGCCTAGCAGCAACGAGTTAAGCCACAGTTTTATGGAAGCATAGAGTCACTTCAAAGGCAATGGAGAGGGTCCCTTCGGTGTTAAGCTTACTCCTCACTCCAGGAGTGAAGCGGGTCTCCCCACAGCCTCCCCACCCCTGGAGAGTTAAGAAGGGACATTTCTAGTAGAATGCTTCTAGTTTTTAAAGGGTCCTTTCAAAGGGGAGGGGGTGTGGGCTGTGCAGATGGAAAAGCAATTTTGTAACTGGTTGTTCTGTTCTGTTCCTGCAACTTTTTCGGGGCTGCATGTTCCAAAACGATCTCCTGGCTTCCAGGCGAAGGCATTTACCCAGCCAGCTCTCACAGAGGCCTTTGTTCATCACGTGTCTCACAGGTTCCGGTGTTCATTTTCTTCTCAGACAGGGAACTTTTAAAAAGAATTGTTCAACCACCTTCAAAAACCCATCAGTGCTTTTATATAATGCCCCATGAGTTTAAAACTTGTTCATCTTCATTTCTCCATCCTGTAGGAGCGAGAGGAGACAGGGACTGGTGCGATGATGATGTGTTTAGAAAGTAGAGGGCTGCTCAAGAGACAATGTCAACGAGTTGCTTAAAGAAGGCTTTGAAGAGAAGGTGACAGAAGAGGCCGGGAAAGGAGACAACGAGAGCATAGCGATGAATTTGGGAAACAAAAAGGGAAAAATTAAGGGAAAAGGCTTATTTTCTGGATCTAGCATGGAAATGTATTCTATAAAAGCTTTGTGGTTAAGTTTTATAATAGAAAGAGAGGATTTCAGTCCATTTTCATTGGCTGAATCTCGGCAGTAGATCCCAGGCCTTTCTTTCTAGTCTGCCTTAGTCTGGAAGTTTTCCTGCAAGCTACCCACCCTAGTTGACATTACTAGCCTTTGAAATATTGACAACAACATAGCTTCTAGCATCCAGCAAGACAAAAAATCTCCCCCTACAATCAGCTGACAGATGGGAGAGTGACTCATTATGTAGCTACAAATTCATTTTCCCTCGGCTTTTAATTGTTCAGCTGCATATGAAACTTTGATTTCAAAAGAACTTCCCCCTATGTTTTGAAAATCCATTGTTTTTTAGTGGTTCATGTTGACGAGTTTCATACCAACCAAGATCTCCTTCCATTGGAAGCCATTTAGAAGGTTGTAAATATTTTGTGAATGCTCATAATTCCAATATTTCACTTTATTCTATCTGTGTTCTTTCCTGTTTCATTCATCCTGCCTAGCACTTGGGCCTTTTCCAGCTGATGAAGTGAGGTTTTCTTTAGACTCGGGAAATGTGTTCTTGTCCTTCAGGGATCTGCTTTGTAAGTGGATTTGCTCTCTCTCTGAGTCTCCATCCCTGTGTCCAGCCCATGCAGAGGAGAGGCAACTGTCCTGTGGAGCAAGAACAGCATCTATTCTAGGAACTCTACCTGTGGGTTGAGCTGTGAAAGTAGAAAGCCCTCGGAAGGAGACTGTTAAAAACCAGAATAAACGTAAAAGAGATTTTCAGAGAGGAGCCAGGGGAAACTGGCCCCTGATTTTTAGGGTGTCCCATTTTCAATTCTACATTCTCTATGCCCCTGAGCAGTTGGGTCATGACAAAAGATGAAAATCGTTAGAAGAAAATGTCTCACCCAACACCCAATCCATCACAATGCACAATAAGCAGAACATAAAGAACATTTCATGTTAACATACATCTTGAGTGTACCTGTTGTGTTAATTAAGCATTCCTTTATTTTTCTATGACTTATCAGACCTTATGGATAGAAAATAGAACCTGAAATAGGAGTAACCACAATTTAGTTCAGTTTAAAATAGCATCTTTGAGATATTGAAAAGCTCAAACACCTAATGGGTGTCTTAGTTATATAGAGCCAGGATGAAGTACAACAACAACAACAACAATGCTGCAGGGAGGTGACTTGAAGCCATCTCTAAAAGAAGAGGGTTTTGTTTCCTCAGAGTTGGGGAGGCTAAACACTCACCTGCAGGGCACTGCCTGCAGCTGGAGGGCGCCCTCTCTCAGTGGCTTGAGAAGTTTCTGGCCTCTTTCGGCTTCAGTTCCTCATTTCCTTGGTGATCTGGTAGCATCCACGTCCCCATTAGTGCTCTCTACTCATGTTGTTCTTTATAAGCAAGAAATGATCGGGTTAACCCACTACCTTCGAATGAATTCTGGCTCATAGCAGCTCGATAGGACAGAGTAAACTACCCTCTGGGTTTCCAAGGCTGTGCGTTCATTACAGGACTAGAAAGCCTCCTCTTTTTCCAGTGAAGCTGCCGGTGGTTTCAAATTGCTGACCTCTTGGTTCACAGCTGAAAGAGTAATCCGCTAAGACACACTCTGATTAACACAATGAAGAACTGAACTAGGAGTTAAGGCATATTTTGGGGCGAGGGACACAATTCGATCCATAACACAGGAGGTTGTCTACTAATTCTATAAAAGCGGTTCCCCCTTCTATCACAGATGAGGCAATTGAGAGCCTCACATGTCCTGGACAGTGCACTGAACAGACCACTACAAGGTGACCAGCTTGTGTTGTGACACTTCTCATCTCCTATGGATAGAAAAATTGTGCGTAGCTTAAAAATAGTTTCAAAACCAGAATATGGAAATATTAATTTAGAGAAGCCAGAGGGGTTTTTTGTTTGTTTGTTTGTAATAACTCGATTAGCATGTAAATAAAATTGCCAGATTCTAAGATACATTAGGATAATTCTAAATGTACAGATTATGGTTTGCTAAGATTAAACACCTAGGATAATATTACTCTCTAAAATGTATCTGGAATTCCTGCTGAATAATTTTGTCTCAGTCTTTATAGCAGATCTATGTGAATATCAGTATTGTTGATGCATCTCCATAGTCTGAGTATGGACTCAATTATTTGAGATATCTAAAAGTGCTTTGCAGCTAGGGAAGCTGGCTAGAGAATCATATCGAGAGGACCCACCAAACCAAAGCTGTGATGACTATGGAGGCACGGAGACAAGCGTGGTTTTCTTGAGCAGACTGACTGCCATTCTCTCGGCATATCTTTAGAGTACAAGCTATGTGGTCCAGTTATTCGGATTTTGCTTGACTTTGCACTGAAATAAAATCCACACTGAAGGCTGTAGACTTTGACCTTCATCAGTCAGTACTTCAATACCTCTTTGCTTCCAGCAACAAAGTTGCCTCATAGAGTATGAGCCTTTCTCCAATTCTGATGCTGTACTCTTCTTCTTTATAGTCTGGCTTCTTTGATGGTTTGTTCAGCATACAGATGAAACAAGTATGCAGCAAATGAAGGTCCTGAAGGCTTTGATCCCACAGGTTTTACTCCATCCATGTCATTCCGGGGGCACTACTTTCAGAAGGCAGCTTCCTCTGTCGTGTTTTGAGTGCTTTCCTAACTAAAGGGCTCGTCTTCTGATACTGATACCAACTGTGTTTTGCCTCTTTTCATGAGGTTTCCTGTATCTGACAATGTATTGATCGCATCCAGAAGGTTTCCATGGCTAATGCCTCAGAAGTGGGACTCCTTCTCCACAGTCTGTGCTTAGACCAGGAGCTCTGGAATGGAGCTGTTGGCATTTGTATTACAAGTGACGTTGCTTCCGGCACCACAGCCACACACAAGCCACCACTGTGCCACAAACTGACAGGCAGTGGTGGAAGGCACTTCTAGGCGGACTCAGATTTCTTCTAACTTGTGGGTGTTAACAGTTTGCATTACTCAAGGATTCCAGGTGGTATCTCGGAACCCCGAATACAAAGAGCATAGAAATCAAAGATGAAATATATGCAAGGCGCTTTATAAGCAGAGTGCATAGGAAGGCCAATGTCCCCCGGGAAGTGCTTCCAAAGAGAGAACGTTGGAGATGGAGCAAGGAAAATGGTTCACCTAATAATAGAAAAAAGCAATTCTAAGCATATAAGGGAAGCACATACTTTCAGATGTCAGGAAAACACACACCCTTTCAGACACGATAGAGTATCAAGCTTTAAAGGAAGTAAACAGCTTGAAATAGCCTTGGAGAACTTGACGTTACCAAGGAAAGACGCTGAAAATGTTTAAAGAGAAAAACAGGGTGGTCTCTAAAGTGAACATCAAACTTTTTTTGTCTCCAGCAACACTGGAGACAAGAAGACAATAGAAAAAATGTTTTTAAGAAAAGTTATTATTTTGAACCCTTAATTACTTGTACACCAAAAACATGATTTAAAAAAAAAGGCAGACATGCAGTAACTTTGAAAGAAAGCCTCCTGTAATGGATTGAATTATTTCCCCCACAAAACACCCACACTCCAACCATACCCACTTGTGGGGAGAAGTCAGACACTTGCTGCCAGACTGCTGTCTCATCCCACAGCAGGGCTGGGCCTGCTCCCTGCTGCTGGGGACAATGGCCTACTTCTCTCTGAAGCTTTGGGACCATTAGCTTGGTTCCTCTAGGT